ATAAAACGTCCTTAAAGTAATTGATGCTCTGCAAATTTCTCGGCACTAATGAAGGTCAGAAAGACAAACATGACCCTTTGCTTCCTCCTCTGATCTTTCTACAATCAACACTACTTACAAAACTTTCTAAAGTGGCAGTGTCGGGTTAACAGTTAGGCTCAGTGATCTTAAAAGTCTTTTTCAACCTAAATATTTCTGATTATATGACTATGCTCCTTATACCCTTCTGTATGCTGTGATCAGGAAAATTTTGGCTGTACTTTGTAGTCCATCTTCTAACTTCTTATGTGATTGTTATGTATTATCTATATATACTTCAAAATATGGAAGTCACGCCTGTAAGAATCATAAGTAGACTTTATACTTGATTAATTAAATACCGCTGAATTCCCCTTGGGTCTCTTTTTAAGTGATGAAGCAGTCTTAGTTTCAAGTTTGTCTCCATAGCAGCAAATGAAGGAATTCCTGTATGATTCCTGTGTGCAGTCCCCTAGTGCAGCCAGCAGCTATGATATCCTGCCCAAGTATCATCAGCCTCAGGCATTTTCTGGCCCTAGGACTTGACTTATACTGAAAACTATTCCAGAAACCCTGATGATTATAAACATCTCCCTAATTTCCAGCCAAGGTATCATAACTCTAATTAATAATCATGATACCCCCCTCGTTTTACACAAATAATGGCATCTCTGTTAAAATATTTTTACCTGCATACTCCAAATTCATCAAACAGATGAACAACTGAGAGATCTTGCTCATACACTGAAAGGGATGTGAATAATAAGAATGTTTAAAACTCACTGGAAAGTGAAATTCATGTTCGATAGGCCAATTGTATGACCAAGATAAGAAGGGGCTCTAAGTTGCCACATCTTTGTAGTCTGATAGGCTGATGTGATAGCAAACTAGTATACAGACATATTATCTGTTTTAGAAGTCCACAGAAAGGATCCAAAAGAATATTACAGTCCAGACTGTTATTAGCTATGTATTTTTGTAAAAATTTTATCAAATATTTAAAATCCATTTTCTGAGGCAAATATCCAGAGTGAAATTTCCTTCAGGAAATATACAAAGCATTTGTGTATATCATATATATATATATATTTGTATATATCAGTATAAGACAACGCAGAAAGAATTGCGCCCTGCCTATACCACCCAAGGAGACCTTTCGCTGTGCTTTCTGCAACCGGATTTGCCTATCCCACATTGGCGTTTTTAGTCATCAGCGCGCTTGTAGTGAGTGTGGGAAAAGCCCTTCCCAAATCTTCATTCCTGAAGTCAAGCCATGATGAATATCAGTATATATATTTGTTTTAAAGAGCCAATGCTGTTTGTTTGTAAAGGATTGTAATCTGACATCTACATATCCAGGTTTTGTTTAACTCTTAAGGAAAATTTATATTATTTGGAATCTCCTTCAAAAGCATTATACAAATGTGCATGAAACTCTCCTTAGTCATTTACAAAATCCTGTCACCGTAACAGAGAAGGTTTTCATTTGGCTTGGAATATGTTTAGTAGTGTCAGTTAATTGTAATAACACTAAATTATTTCATCGCTGAAAAGTGACTACATGAATGCTAAAATAAAATAACAAACTGTTTTCAATTGGAAGTTTTCATGCTATTAAACCAGCAGACAATTAAAACAGTTTGTTTTCATGCCTTTTATTATTGTCTTTGTAGAAAATCATTACATGCACTCAATTTTTAACCTAAGATTTCTAAATCCCATGGTTGGATTAGTGAGGTATTGATTAACTCACTAATTGCATGCAATAGTTTAACTATAGAAAAATTCATCACAGGACAATTTTTACATCACATGCTATTTAGCTACTTATTTGCAGTGGTGCCTCCAAATACAAGTCAATAATAGCACCGAGGCACAAGAAATAGGCAGAAATATGGGGCTGTTCATATATTAACATAAAAATATTAATATTAAATAAAAATTAAATAAATACTAATATAAAATATTAAGATAGTAACATAAGCAATCCTAAAAATATTCTTCATGCAGAGAAACAGAAAATGTTGAGTGTCATTGACAGATGATTTCTCAGATGGGGAGCAGTAATGGTTTACAAACCAATGAAGGATTCACAAAGATTCACAACTTGCGCCCAACCCGGTTTTAAACTCAAGCAAAAGGATTAATCTCATGATATGACAGTTTTAAGGTAATAAAAATATGTCTGGATCATAACTAATAAGCATGTACAGAGGTTAAACTGTCTCTATACTGGGAGTTAACAGAGATAAAAAACTTCATGGCCACAAAAAATCATCAGCTGCTGAACTGATAAGGATATCACCTATTTTGTATTTGTAACTGTAAGAAAGGTTGTGGACTGCTCTGCAAAGGCAAACTGATTCACAGAAGGCTAAGAACAGAATTTGTTTTGAGCCAGCAACTCCCCAGCTAAAGTAAGATGTTGCCTTATCTTTTTGTATCATAGTATTGGTCTCACCGTGATATATTAATAACCATTCTACTGTAACTTACTCCACATTAATTCCCCTGTATAAACAAGTCCTCACATTCACTGGGAGAAAAAGTTTATGAAAATAATACAAATATTTTACAGTGCAGGATTTACATTTATCAGGTGTCAGTGATTATGGAAGTTATAAAACTGTACTTAGCAAGTGATGAATTGGGTACAGTTGGGTGGTCTCTATGTTCCTAAAGCTGGCCTTGTTCTAGAAGCATAAACATTAATAGGTGGCTGCCAGCACCTATACAAATGCTCTGTTTTCTGCAGTTTTTGAGATATGGCATTACTTTGCATTTTGTCCTCACCAATTTTCTAGACTTGTTAACCAGTAACTTAGCTTGGCTTCTACAAGTGCTATATTTCCCTTTTTCAAGGAACTAACATGAATTCTTGTAAAACAATATGAACCTGTTATGCACAATTCTTGATTTTAATTGTAAGATGGACTAAATTTCTGATCAGGCAAAACTAGTGGAATACAGCCAAACTCCTAATATTGCTTACCAGTGTAGAGAATGGGAATGCCTTCAGCAAACCCAGCTCATTAAAGGCTTGAGGACAGTTCCTTTAAATTTATGCTAACATTGCTTCCCAATTTACTAGAAAGAGGAAACTTACACTGACAAGGAGATGATGTCGTGGGGGGTGCAAAACAGACACGATACAATCAGTGAAGCTAGAAGTGGGAGGAACAGCTGCTTCTTAAGTAATGATATATAAGTAATATTAGTCCCATTGGTTTAATTACATTGTAACCTTAAACAACAAACATGTTTTCCATGTTTTCTTCCCAAAGGCCCTGACATTTTCAACATAACCAAACCCTCTTATATTTTTCATGATAAAATAGTTTGAAGCAGTCAATAGTATGAATGTTTTTAGTATTTAACCCCCCCCCCCAACACATCCAATCCCAAAACCAAGATCCACATGAAAACCAGATCACAGTTGTTCTCACAGTTTTCTTGCCTCCTGTATTCTTGATTGTATGCTACAAAATGCAGAGATGAAAGATGGGGAAAATAGTAGATGAAGATGTATCTTTTTCTCCTTTTCTCCTGTCCTCATGAGTGTTTGCGGAGAACATATACCTATGATCTATGAGGCATACTTAACTTTCAGATCAATTCTGTTTCCAATATAAAAATAACTGGTGAATCATTGTGCAGATCTCAAGCATGTTTTTAAATTCTCTTGTGTTTTCCTTTCTCTCTTCAGTGCATCCACAAAACAACCCATTTTTAGGTTTTGTATGCTTGGGATATGATGCACTGCTGTGATAAAGGGTGAAGGAATCTGCACAAGTCCATGTGCCATACAGGGTGTTGGAGTGAATCACAGAAAAAGAGAAAAAAATCCTACAGGGCAAAGTCTTGTTTTATAGTAAAATTCAGTGTCCTGAAAAATTGTGTTTGCATGTACATGCTTCTAGATAGCAAGTAAAGGGTCCCTAGAAATACCTAAAACGAGACAACTAGGGAGGAAGGGTGAGTGGGAAAGGTAAAAGGTAAGCAGGCTGGATAGTCTGGCAAATATGGTTATGGGCTTGTCTGTTGGAGAAACTCACCTAAGATGAAGAACTCAGTAGTCTCCAGTGGAATTTATCTATGGTGTAGGAAATAATTTGTGAAGGATGATTACCAGTGCAGAATTGTGGACACAAATTACTATTGCAAGATGCTTTAAATTGCATTATGTTTCAAGAATGAAATGGTACATAGTAAAGATGGAATTCAGATTTAGAATGCATTTTAATAATTAACAAAAAAAATCGTTACACCAACATCATAAATTTTACAGATTACATGCATGGTACATACCAGATTAGCTGTGTCTGTGAAATGTTATACATCTGTCCAGTATCTGAAAGGGGCCTATAGGGATGCTGGAGAGGGACTCTTCATTAGGGACTGTAGTGACAGGACAAGGGGTAACGGGTTAAAACTTAAACAGGGGAAGTTTAGGTTGGATATAAGGAGGAAATTCTTTCCTATTAGGGTGGTGAGGCACTGGAATAGGTTGCCCAGGGAGGTTGTGAATGCTCCATCCCTGGCAGTGTTCAAGGCCAGGTTGGATGAGGCCTTGGGTGATATGATTTAGCGTGAGGTGTCCCTGCCGATGGCAGGGGGGTTGGAACTAGATGATCTTAAGGTCCATTCCAACCCTAACGATTCTATGATTCTATGATATGGAAATTCACAATTAGAGACACAACCCAAGACATTTCATTATTTTAAGTCCCTTGCTACAATGTACTGATTGTTAAAGATGTATTACAATAGTTCGAAAATAACTGCTTTTTACAGTGGCAAATAATATTTGCAAATACATCATATTCCACAGATAACTCTGATCTGAAAAATACACAAATAAGTGTTTGAAACATTTTTTAGTATATTCCAAGCATAATAGTAGTCATCTTCTGGTTTGTTATAAAAAGTACCTGAATTCAATTTAAAAGGGATAAAATCTAATTGGAATCTACAGAAATAAATTAATTTCGGAATGAATTCTTTGCACAACATCCTTTTTTGTTTTCCAAGAAGACTGTGCTGTCTTGCATGCAAAAATGGGTAATTCCCAGTTACTTTCAGTCCACCTAGCAGTTATTTTCAGAGACCTGCAATAGATTTTACTCTTAAAATGCTCTTTCTACAGTATCACAGCAGAATCCCTTACTTACTTGCTGCTTCCATGACACATGTTAAGGATCATACTGGAATAAGTGTGACAAATGTAGCCTCAGATCTTCCCGCCATTACCAATGCCAGGTATTCATCCTGATCCTTTTTTTTTTTTTTTTTGAGGGCTTTGCTCTCAACTACAGTCAGTTAATGGAACGTGCATCCCCATCTTCCTTAAGATTCTGAATCATGAACTGAAACAGCAGAGGCAATAGCAGACACTGTGTTCTACAGGCTCTGTTGCAGGGAAATAACCTGAAGCAGAAGAGGAGTGAGACAAAAACTAAGTTGTCATAGTAAGATTTTTGAGTTCATTTATCAGTATCTTGCCTGCCACATTAGCAGTCTTAAGTGTAGGAGTACTTATGAACTAGGATGAAGTCTGCTTTCTCGGTGTTGTATCTTTGATCTGTGATGGAAGGCCATGTTTTTAAACTGGACCTTCCTTCTTTTGGTTTCTTTTTAATTTGTAATTCCTTTGAAAAGTGACCATCAAAACTAAATGCATTAATCTGCACATTCTCACAAGATACAGCATCAGTGCTCCTAATCAGTTTTCTTCATATTAAGAGGCCAGCATTAAATTAGATATCTTAGCAAAGTATCCCTCTGGGAGTAATGATAACCCCAGGTATGTTTATATACAGCCTCCAATCTTGAAAAGACATCTGCATGCATTTTGGGAATAAGGTGCACAATTGTAGCTTCTGCATCTGGCCTCTGGCATTCAGTTGTGTTAAAATGCAAGTTTGCTAAGCAGCCTTGGAAGTTTTCCAGTGAGATTAACATTGAAATGAAGTCATTGGACTCCACTGGAAAAACCCCAATAAGGTTCCCCATTAACTCAGTAGCTTGCGATCTGTCTGCATCCTCTGGATTTTTCCATACATATTCCTCAATGCTAAATGAAATGCATAAAATCTATAAATTTTACGTGAACAGCAGACTGATCTGCTCAAAATTTGCACAGTTTGTTTGGTGACATTTAATTCCATAGAATTGGAAATGATTTGCAGTGCTGCTATTTTTGTATTTCAGTCCCCATTTATTTTTCGTCTTGTAGTATCTGTTTCTATACTTTCTTTGAGCTTGACTGAAAGCTGTTTTTCTTAATATTGCAACATTCAGTTGAAGCTAGAAATTGTTTCACAGTGTATGCTAAAGATATAAATAGGAAGTAAAAAATGCTTAAGTATGTGTTATTTGTATTTTAGATTCTGTTACACAGGGCATGTATAAACTGCTAACAGTGGTCAGGCAGCAGGCTCAATCACTGGATCCCTGATCATCCACACAGTTCCTTGTTTTACTTTGGATCATTCCAGTGATGGAATTGGAGTGCTTCCAAAAAACAGGATGATTCAAATCAGTGCATCAAATTTAGCTTCCTCTACCTACGCAGTCTTTTAAAAATCTACCTCAGAATGTTTAGTGCCCTCAAATGCACCCTCATGCCATGCTTAGGTCCTTCTTGTCACCTCAGTTGTGTGCCGTCAAATCAACCTCTCTGGTTGGCTGCCAGGAAGCATTGCTGTATTACAGACTCTTTGAAGTTCTAAAAGTGTACAATAATGATCACATATGAAGGCAACAGAGGGCCATATGGGGATGGGAAGACAGTGAGATCCAAAGGCCAGGTAGCCTGGATCTGGACAATCTACCACAATCGAGGCTACCCTTAAGTAGCGTAGATAGTAATTGATACGCTGTACTTGGTGTTGGAGTTGCTTAGGTATTTGAAATGGGTAGTGTCGAGCATGTGAGAAAAAACATTCAAGGTTGGGTTTCTGCTCTACCTCAATGATATTGCATGGGAGGAAGTAGTTTAAATTAGAAATTTTGTTTTGATCTCATTCCTAGTTAAAAAGTTTTAATTTTTCTTAGAAAAAGAAGAAAAATGTAATAACCTAAAGCTCTTTGCAAGAAGGGGTTTTTGTATAAGAAAAAGTGTAGTAGGACCCACTCATGTCATCTTTGTACCAGGCCAATCAAATGAAAGGTAGTGTTGCAATAAGATAGCATGAATGTTTTTCTTTTCATGATTTAAAACGTATATGTGATGTGTCATTCCTGATGATATTAACTTTAAGAAAAATATGTAATTGCAGATTTTCAAGGGAAAAATAGAATATTTGTTGGCTTATCTCGATTTTATTTCTTCACCTCAAACAACACAAGAAGTCAAATGTAAAAGCTTAAATCAGTCCTTCTTGCACTGAGTTGGCAATGTCTCCTGAGCTGTAGAAGGTGATGTTGTTAAATTTTGTTGTTGTTAAATTTTCACAGAATCTTGTTCTCTGTGCAATTTTTACCTCTGATGGATCTTGGCTTTGAGATGTTATAGTAGGGAATTATGGGCTGAGAAATGAGGTAACTGGTGGCTTGTAGGAAAAACATATTCATGCCAAATTAATGGGTATTTTTCATGGGTAAAATGAAATTCTTCAGAGGCTTGGCTGTAAACTCAAATGTCCTGATATATAGTGAAACAGTTTTCTTCTGTCATTTCTAGTAATATGTGATTAGTAATAGTAATATATATATATATAAAAGTAATATATGATTATGAGAAATTCTAGTATCTTGCCTCTATCACTGATGCTGTATGTTGGATATATTGGAACCTATCTTCATTTCTGTACCCAAACTCGACTATCACTTCCATTCATACTAACTCTTGTGAACAGCAATCTTCCCATCAGACTCAAAGCTTATGGAAGGGACCTCATCACCTTAAACAGCTGCTATGCTATTTAAGATGCTGTGGGCTTTAAATTGTAAAGGATATTAATAGAGAATACATGTCAATCAATCTGCAAAGACTGGATAATGAAAAAGATGGAAACAAACAGTAAGGTGGCATCAGCAGTGCTTGGCTCTACTACGTATGAATAATGTTTGAGGGAGCAAGCTTGAGAAGGAGCCAAATTTGAGGAACTTACTAGCACATCTGTAAAATTGTTTCCTTGGATGTTAGCCTGTCCTTGGTCTTCAGGTTTTAAGAGCCTTCGATTTGTGAGTTCTACAGTAAAAAGTCATAATAACTTTTTTTTACAAAGCAGAACAATGTAAGCTTTCCAGAAGACAAACTAGGACATTTTAGTCTGGCAAATAATGCAACACAACCTAGATTTTTCCTATTTACACTCAAGTAAAATGTATTTCCTTTCAAAATAAATTCACAGTGAGTAAGCTGGAATCCTTACTCTAAGTCAAACAATTAGATGAATACAGTAGTCAAGGGGGCGGTGAAAGGTCTTGCAGCTCACACCTTTGTGCTGAGGCATGATCCATCAACCTTTATTTGTACAGTTGATGTTTAAATGCACTTAAAATCCACTATTTTTGTCACTGGGAAGCTTCTGTAGGGCCTCATGATGGGACCACAGTATTTATCCATTGTTTTGTCCTAGGATAATGTATGTGTTTCCAAGCAGAAGACTTAACTATCTTCATTATATAATGCCAACTATTCAGACAACAGAAGCTAAGCCTGTTGTCAAATTGCATTTCCAATTGACATTCTGTGAGACATTAGAAGTTACTACATATATCTTTAGTGCATGTGGGAGTCATGACATTAAAAATGACATAAAACTTATTATGCAGACAGAAAATAAACATTTTCTTCCCTTAAAGAATTTAAGATTGATAGATAATTACTTTGCTTGCCAAGAAGAGACTTCCATAATCAGTATAAATCATAAGGTCATTAAATTGGTAGGGCAATGAGAGATAAATCAGTGCCCTGAAGATGACTTGTAATTGCTTGTTGGAGGATACATGGCTGAATGATATTTTGTAAAGACCATACTGTGCATCTATCTAATTGGGTTGGATGTGTTAGAGAGTCTATAACAGAGCTAACTGAATAAGTCAAAGACCACCCACATATGAACCAAATGACTTACGTGTCTGTGGGACACTCAGGAAAATCTGTACTTATTGCTCTGTCTCAACTCTATCAGGAAATTCCTGGGCTGTCTTAAAAAAGGATAGAAAAAGAAACAAAAGGTTGATGCAATTCATTTTGTATAATGCGTCTAAACCCAATGATATGGAGACAAAAGTGACATGCAGTCATAGCGACAGCGATGCTATTTTGGAATGTTCTGCATGTACATATTTCATAATTGGATTCAAATGACCAGAAAGTGACACTTCTCCCACAAACAGCCAGCTCTTCCTTGTAGGCAAATCTAATAAACAGTTCAGAATCAAAATTGCAAGAAATTAAGACTTTGCAGTTCATGACCTTTTTAGGACGGTGGGTTTCTAAATAATATATTCATCAAAAGCAACTTAATTAACATGCAGAAAGGCAGTAAATAACTGTTCTGAAATTGAAGTAAACTGTGATAAAGGATTATCAGCGGGCTTCACATTCTAGGGAATTGCCTCAAGTCTGTCTTGCAGCCTGGGCAAAATAATTGTGCATATATAAACCCCATTTATTCCATTGTTTTCCCTGTGGATTCTGGACTACTTTGTTCTCAGTTAACATCTATATCAGTCTGTTTGAACTCCACTAAAAATAATAGGATCATTCCAGATTTATATCAGTGTCATTTTGTTTTTACATGCCTGCTACTAGTGAAGGAAAAGGCAGGGATTTATTAAACATTGCTGATTCAACATGCTTGCTTACAAGCAAATGTGTTTGTTTAGTGTGGATGATAATGATAAAGTAGTTATATGAGATTAAGGTTTAATCAGTCTCTAATTTCTCATGTGCTGGGAGCTGTACAAATATAAAGATACCTTCCTTACCTCCAGACATCTTAAGATTACAATTGCAAATAAAAGGCTTGGCAACGTGATCCATTGTGCAAACGAATGGAAAAAGTTCAGTCAACGTAGTTTTGTTTATGTATCGTAGCTGGGTTGTAGGTTTTGTCTGTTTGGTTTTTATCTAGGAGAAGACATAACGGAAAGAGGAGACAGTAGGAATAGCCAGATTAGTTATAGCAAAGTTATTGGAAAAGTTATTGGAAAGGCATAAGATTCATGTTTAATCTGAATTCCTCAGTTTTATTGTTTGCTAACTGAGAATAGGCAGACACAAGTGTTAGAGACTCTTCAAAGTGCTTATTAAAGCACCTATTAAAGTGGTTCACGGCACAGTGCCATGGCTACTATCCAAGCATGTAATTCAAAGAGCAGTGAATGTCATAATTCAAAATTCCAAACATTATTCTAGATTTAAAATGTGTCTATTGTCCCAATCTGTATAAGAAGCCAAAGCAAAAACTGCATCAGAACTCCAAAGCATACAGGCTGATTCATCCTTCTGAATGTAGCTGGTCAAGATCTTTCTAAAAACAAACTAGACAAGTAAAGTAAAATTTTATTTTACACTTTTCTAATGAAATCCATATTTAAAGTAAATTATTTTTATATTTAATGTTAAAGCTTTGATGGCAAATTACTAAGACAACAGCAATAGAGCTTCCAGTCTGTCAAGTTACAGATAAATCTATTCAGTACATTTAGAATGAAGTATTCAGCTGCCTTGAGGATTTCATGGCTATCTCTACTTGCCTGAATTATCTTGAATTAGCCTTTAGAAGAAAATCCAAAAGCTTTGAATCAGGTGGTAACATGAGCAATTAGAAAATACATTACAGTGTTAACCATGATCAGTTTTAACATGGATACTTTGCTTCAGTAGTCACGGCCTTCTAGTAAAATGAGTTTGCCAAACATAAAGGGATAATAATACTCCTTTCATTGTTTGATTAAATTCTACTTTAACTTTCATCCTGCCTTAAAACTTTTCTGAACTGTGACAATTTATTTTTTCTGGTGAGAGTTAAACAGTTATCCTTTTCTTATGTTATTCATGAGTAACAATGAAATAAAAAGTTCATGCTTTCCTGACAGATTGTTGTTTCTGCCCTGGTTTCTTAGACATTGGGCTGTGCTTTCAAGTGCAGCAGTTGAGTGCTGTTCCATCCGATCTGATTCTTTTTATCTAACCAAACAGGCATTCAGGAGGACAGTGCATGGGAGAGGTAAACAGAGCAGACACTGGACCACAGGGCATTGAATTGCACAGGTTGCACTTGTACTTAATCATTATGATTGTGTGGTCTGTGCTTCACATGTTAGGTGGAAGCACTGGTCCTTGTGTTAGGCTTGTGAACTTGGATGCTTACATGTAAAGGGTGCAGAAGATGAGAAAACATTTTTGAGTCTTCATGACTAAATGTCTTTGAGGACAAATCAGACATTTAGGCAGGGAAATAGTCTAAAAGATGTTTTCTACCTCTGTTTTCCACAGGTCTGTGATAGCCCCATGCCATTGTTTTTCACTTTCTATATACTTGCATACTGACCTCATAAAAGAATTGCAAACATGGCAGATGAAATTTCAATATTACCTGGAGAAGCAGATAGAAAGAGGGAAGCCAAAACCATTTCTTATTTTGGTGCTTAAAGTTGAGGATAAGAGGTGTTTTCCCTTGGCCAGGGAGAAGGAAGGATATGCCAGCTGCTGTGTTACTCACGAAAGCAAGATCCCACTAATTCAATGTTCTCCACCTACATACAGAGAATAATCATCTCCTAAAAATATTTATACATCCATACTGATTTCAAATAGAACACGTTTCCAAAAATGTAATAAAGAGATGTTCCAATAATGAAGGTTATAAAATATTTAAATACTTCCTCCGCTTCTTTCAAGAGGAAATGCCAAATAGCAAAGAGGAAGGCGATTCCAACTTCTCTTGTATTTAGTGTGAGGTTCTTATTCCCCTTTGCTTTATCACTCTCTTCTCCCAGAATAAAAACCTATTACTATTTTGTGATGCATATCCTGATCCAAACTTCATACATATGCATTGCCATATGTTTCACACATCATATGCTTTCCTTAGTTTCATTTCAGGTTCAACATCAACACTCTTTACCCATCACGCTTATATACACATACTTTGTTCATTTCACACATCTTCCTATGTTTGCAGAGTGGAACAGAGAAAGTTGAATTGTCTGTACATCTTACGGGGAAGAAAAGACTCCAGCCTATGTCTAGGCCCTTCTGTGTCATCCTTACTCACTGCTTACTCTTGAAAAGAGTAACATGAGATATTCACTGACTATATGAATCCAATCTAAACTCCCTTGCTTGTGCAGGGATAGAATTTCAGTGAAATTAAGAAAAAAACAATTCTTTTATGTAAAGCATTAAGAGGAGATATCACAGTAAGATTTGGGTATCTCTAGGCAGCATTAAAAAATCAAATTTTAGATTCTCTGTCACTCAGTGGAATCCCTTGTTTTTGGTATGCCCAGGTTTTCCTGGGGACAGGAGTAGGGATTCACAGAAGCCAACTGCCTTGCACACATAGAGCGTAGATATACCTCCTTGCCTGCAGGCTGCGGGGAGAGCCCTGCTGCAGCTCAGGATGCTCAAGAGACCTAGAGATATGTTGTAGACTCCAAAGGTGGTAGCCTGGCTGTCCAGACAATGAAGTCCCAGCAGTATAGAAGTAATCCTGCTTCTAATGAGTGAATGGCAAAGAAAATAGGACATAAAGGAATGGCTTGAGGTGGCTGTTCCCAGCCCTAAATCTCCTAAGGAACTGCTTATGGAGGACTTCTCACATTCAGAGCATTCTTTGAGGATATTGAAATAGATAGGTGAAGTGACTGCTACACAGGAGAGATGTTCCCCCTGAAAATTTAAGTGTTGGTTTTTTTTTTACTGGAATTAATTATAACAAATTCTTCCCCTACCCCCAGTGGAAATGAGATGATACAGCAGTCCTTTTACTAAACTCTGCTTTCTTTTAAGACCATAATTATAACAGTCTGTTAATGTCTTTCAAACAGGCGTTGTAAAATAGCATTTCTTATCATGTTTAAATTTTACAGTCTGCACTTACAGTGTATAAGAGAATTAGTACTTGGAATTGTAAAACTCAACACTTCCAGATTTATAATAGTGCTAGGCATTCCACCAATGTATTTAGTATCTTACATGGGAATACTGCACACTATGCGTTTCTGTACAGGGATCTTTTTGATTTGTTTTCTAATTAGCATTTTAGTTATGGCTATGGATAGGAAGCATTTATGTTGTGCATCCTTACAAATTAAGACTTCTTAACTAAGAGTTCTAAATTAAGAGTTCTTTTATGCTTTAAAGAGTTTGCTTGGTTTGCTGACCTGTTTAGTGATGTGCTGGTTCCCAGACTGAGAGATCTAGTGCTGTTTGGTGTTACTCATGGACAAACTGACTTTTGAACCTATTCAGATATCGAAGAACAAGTTTTCAGGTTGTTTTTTCTTGAGATCCTTATAGTTATCAATGTAGCAATTTTATACTACTCATAATGAAGTCAATATTCTTACATAAGGGGTGGCTAACCAAAAATTTACTTAGGTAGTAATTCTGTTCTGCTGATACCTGAGAAAAAGCAGGTGGGTTTCACAAGTCATAGATTTTAAGGTTCTTAGTCTGAGGGGCATATAGAGTCTGGACATTTTCATTTATATCTCCACAGTCCCTATTTAAATATACTTAATTTTAAATTGTGTTTTGTAGTTCTATATCAGCAAGTGTGAAAATGAGATATCATATAAATTAACTAACAGTTTAGTGACTTGAGTGCTCACCTGGAAAGTGGAATACCTGAGTTCATCTTCCTTCTCCAAATCATGTCACGTAGAAGCATCATTTTGGGAAGAAGATAGGGATTTGGTGGTGTGCCAGTTAAGGGTACAGTTGCCTCAGAAGGATCCTGTTACAAAGTCACTAACTTGACCTGCTCGGAGGAACAAACCCCAGAGTACAGGTGTGAGTTATTGCTTTAGAATTCTGCAGTATCCCAGTTCATCATGTCCATTAACTTTTGTCAAGGGAGGCACTTCACTTGACCTTTACCCTTTTAGAGCCCTAAATATCAGAGGAAACAACCATTTTATATTTGATATTTATACAGATAAAAATACAGCTTTATTCTCATTTGACATTTATATACAGTTACATTATGGTTTTTCAGATAAATGTCAAATGAAAGGTTTCCAAATCTGACATTTTTTAATAGTATGCCTAAAAATGTTGCGGTCAGATGAAGGGCTGTGATTCATGTGGCACTTAGAATGGTCTACCTGGCTTCTGCACACAACTTGAAGGCTAATTCCAGCTAAACAGAGATCTGTATGGTAGCACCTGACCAAAAAGGAGGAGAGTTCTCTGTGGAATTAATCAAGTTGAAGTAAACCCCTTCTTCTTCAGTGACACTCTGAGTCTTACTGTCAAAGAGCTGAATGACCATTTTAATTCTGTCAGACTCTCTCTCTAACCAGGTTCTTATTTCACACATGGAGTGTTTAATGTTTAATACCAGATTTATTCATTTGTAAATCCTTATATAGGATTTTGATTCAGCAGAGTGATACCACAAGGTACTAAAATCACAACACATGTGCAAATGGCACTTCACAGAATACAGGAATTGCACTATACAGTAACCACAGTACAAGTGTGGGTTTTATTACTGGTCTTTATAATATGCTCACTGTCAAGATTATGGGTATCCCCAGTTGCCAGGAAGGTGTACATGGCTTGAAACTAGCTCAAGCTTATTGCTTTCTTCAGAGTTGATGCTGTTGTTTTTCCAGCTTTTATACTCTATTATTGGAGCCATATAACCACTCCCCTCGTTTTTGTCTGCCTAGCTCGGGAAGACACTCATACTCAATTGATGAACTTACTTAGGCAGAAACATTTTCACAACCAGGTCATCCACTCAGCTGATCTACAGCCACTCTCTGGTCCCTTTTATGTTCAGCTAAACTCAGTTTCCTTTGTACAGCTATGGGCAGTCTCAGTCTCTATTCTTCCCTGAGTTTTATCAGCATATTACCCATCACCCCTATGCTGTGAATCTTCTCCCAGTGTAGAGGATTATTGATCGGCCACAAACTTGTAAGACAAGTCCAGTTCTTTCCAGAAACTGATAGGATGAGCATTACATCAGAAAAAAAGGATAATGGCAAATCAAAACCAGAGTGATTCTTAATATATGCAAGCCAACTGTCATCTTTCAGGGATTTTTATCTATCTGCCTAATACAGTAAATTAAATTTTCTCTTCCAAAAATATGCAAAGTTCACTTGTGATCAAAGAGAGTTGTTCTTGAGTTGGCCCAGCAAAGGAATATTCTATTCCATTGAGATTACTTCAGAACAGTTTACTAAAGGCACATGGGATTTCTTGCAGCATTTCTGCAATGCTGTTGACCTCAACTGTTGATACTATATTCTGTGTGTAAGACCTTGAAATTATGTGACTAAATACTGACAAGTTTTCAGATTTGTCAGTAAGTGACTTTGCAATCTATTTTACAGTTGTAGAAGCCCTTTTGGAAAAAGTTTCAATTATACTCTTTTATTGCCTTACAGGATTTTATTTTGCTCTCCTACAGGAGAAAGGGACCTAGCCCCACAGCAGTTCATAAATGTACGTTTATTGGCACACACAGAATTTATGGCCTAATGATTAATAGATCTTCTAGGAAGGCTCTGTTTTATAGACACAGTTACCTCTAGTATCACTAAAAGTTACTGGCCAACAAGATGTTACCACTGGCTTTTTGATTGGTATCAACCTCTAATAGCAACCATTAATAAAAAAATGTATTAATCATATATTAACAGCTTATATTTTATGTATACGCTGCAGTGAATTATGCTCAAGAAAATCAGAGAGCTCTAGTACATTTTAGTCTCATACAGAAGTATGAAAGCGGCAATCTTACCCTCTCCAAAGATACAATTGATATTGTGGGCTCTAGACCTATCTTTTCAACAGGAGCATGCATTTCCTTGTGAGGTACTGGATCTCTGCTTTTCTCCTATATTTCTGTGAAATCAAGTATATGAACTTACTTCAGCTGTTCATGGAGCATGTTATTCAATAATACCACCTTATCCTAGCAGCATGCCAGAAGTATGATTCAGTGTCATTCATTACTGCTGTGGAACAAGACAGTGAAGAAAGTTCAGAGCGAGACAGTTTTCATTTTCACCCAGTCTTCAGGTTTTCTGGTTTGAAAATAAATTATTATGAATTATAAAAAGGTATTTCTTTTCCTTTAAGTGATAAGTTTGATGATGAATCAGAGAACATCTTGACATAAACAAAGATCCTATTACTGACATCCGTATTTTGATCATGAAAAGGAGTTTCTCCCATCAAGAATCTATAATTATATTGGTTGACCACGACACCACTGCAGATGTGAGCAAGCATAATACTTAAAGGCAGAAAGAAAATCTGCATAGAGAGGACTCTTTTCAGCATTTTGGTGTATGTGCAGATAAGTAATGACAAGATAGAAGGGAGAGAACTAGAAAAATGCTGGAAAGTAGAATTATGAAACTGAGTAACGCCGTGTTTACGCACTGGTTATCTCCTGGATATTTCTTCTTGGACTCAGGGATGGTGAGGGAGGCAAAGAAACCTTTAACCCATTCTTTCATGTTATTGGCTTTGAAATATACGAAAATGTGTCTTACCATTGCAGACTGATCACCAGGAGACAGATCTGTAATTGCCATACAAAACATTCCCAGCATGGCACTGCAAAAAGAAAACAAAACCAGGTACAGAGTCTTCGGTGACATGGTTTAGTGTGTGGTGTCCCTACCCATGGCAGGGGGGGTGGAACTTGACTATCTTAAGGACCCTAATTATTTTATGATTCTATGTCAAAATTCCATTTTTGTCATCTTCAGATAGAAAGTTCTGAACAAGACAGAAGGGTTTGTCTGAAGTTTGTTAGACATGGGAAGCCTATGGAAAAGATACAAAAGTGGATCCAGATCAGTCTGTTGCTTTTGATTTCCAGAGCATTCATAGGACATCGCTAAGGACATGATTATAAAATTGAAACCTCACTAAAAATATTAGGCCTGATTTTCTTAAAGGTGACTTTAACTGTCCAAGATGACACATATATGTTAAGGAACAAGAAATTTAACTCCTTGTCCTTAAATGCATGCAAGTTTTATGCCTCTTCTTTCATTCATGTCACAGGAAAAAAAATAAAATTGCCCAGTTTTCTCTCCAGGTTTGAATTTTCTGTATCATCACTGTTGGCTAAAAGACCTATTATTGGGAATGGACATAGTCAAACTTTAAGAAAGCCATTTGAATTTTACCAAGAATAACAAATATAATAATTCTTTTTGTCATATGATTAAATAAACACCTGAATTAGAAATACTTGTTTGGTGCTAATCATACATGGTATCTGCTTTGCTATTCTTCCTTTAAGACAGCAAATACTCCCATGGAAGATGCTGCACATGGATGACTTTACATTGCCCAAATCAGCAGCTAGATAGCCCTGGCCAATTCTTCAGGACTTCAGAGAGAGGTCTTTCAATTTCTGAACACCATAAAAGTAATTAAGCTTTTTTCTTCTCCACAAACTAATTGTAATGAAAATTTGCTTCACCAAAATGACACAGATGCCAAATATGAAATTGACAACTTTCATACATGATTTAGATTCAGATTTAGCATAGAATCATAGAATCCCAGACTGGTTTGGGTTGGAAGGGACCTTAAAGCTCATCCAGTTCCAGACCCCTGCCATGGGCAGGGACACCTTCCACTAGACCAGGTTGCTCCAAGCCCCATCCAACCTGGCCTTGAACACTGCCAGGGATGGGGCAGATACAGCTTCTCTGGGAAACCTGTGCCACCGCCTCACCACCCTCACAGGGAAGAATTTCTTCCTAATGTCAAATCTAAATCTCTCCTTTGTCAGGTTAAAGCCATCCCCTCTTAGCCATAAAGAAGTAGTTTAGCGTTAGTGCAATTAAGATGACTAATGGGTTAAGTCTCTGTTTTTACTCTATCTTTTTATTCTTATCTAAACTGCTATCACAGATTAATACATAAAGTAACTTGGAAAACAGAAACAAAATATTGTTTATTCTATGTTCAGAAAAAAACATGACACAAAACAATGAGATATTGAAAATGAGTTCCACTTTACCTGAACTGTTCAAAGATTAAATTTCCATTTTTTGTCATATATCATCAACTAAAGTACTTCTTCTAAATTTTATTAATTACCTATCCCTATATAAAGAAGCATCTTAACACGGATTGAAACAAATTAGACTATGCTTCTTCAAAAATGTGTACTTTAAATTTAAAAGAGAATGTAAAAAACCCCAAAACACAATATGCCTTTTAAAAATCAGATGGACCTGTTAGAAAAGAATGGTCATTGCTACACTTAGAGTTGTATTTCAGTGTCTGCGCCAGGTTTGCTTTTTCACCATAAAACCAAAATTCACATCTAAGTTTTTTTTAGTAATTTATAATCCCAACCACTGAAATTAGAAACAGATGCCAGTTAAATGAAAAGGCAGTGTAGAAAAATTACACAATGTGTTTTCCATAAGATGGGGGAAGTGTAAGAAATAGGAGAAAAAGATTGTGTCAAGTCACACAGTCAGAGGAACAAGGACACTCCTTCCCCCCCCCCCCCAATTATCATTAATATAAGATAGAATGTTTAGCATGATTTCATCCTTACATGTTAATATCTGAAAGAACTTGCACAGTCAACATCATCACTACTTATCTATCATTTATATCTATATCAGAGAACCTGAGGTAAGAAAGTTCATTACAGGTTTCTAGTCCGGTCTGGGTTTGAATTTGGGGTTTTGTTTTATTTTGGTTCCTCTCCCTCACCCCCTACTGAGCGATACGTTCTACTATACCAAACAATATTGTCAGCAAATAAGCAAACTACCAAACTAAAGAACATCTACAAAGAGAATTAAAAGGCAGACAGCACTAAAATTTTAGAATAGACAAACGGATGTACTAGAAGGGAGGACCAGATTTGACATGGTACAAGTGTAGCTGTTTGCACAGGAGTTACAGAATATCTTATTGGCTAGAATTTGTTGGCAGGAGGTTATTAAAATAATAACAATAAAAGAAAACATACATGAGATGACATCATTTAAAAAAGGCTGTATTAGCAATACAGTGTTTTCAGATAAAGTTCTTTACACTAATTAGGCTCCTAAAGGACAGGTTGGGTAGGAGACAGTCCATGTAGCATGTCATTCATTTTAAGGCTATGCTGGAACAATAAAACCTGATTTTTCTTGCTAGGAAAAAGCTGAGTTTATAGCCAGCATGTTAGGGGAAATGATCCTGTCAGAGCAGAGAAAACAACTAACAGAGCACTTGATAGCTAGTTTGCTTTCCAGTGCCTCCTTTGCATTCACAGAGCTTGAAAGTCACCATCTGTCAAATTGCTTCAAAACTACAGGAATAATTTTGTGAAACCCCAAAGTATGAACAAGATGTTTCATCTTTCCTTTCTCTCAAGATTTTCTATTGAGATTATAGAACGCAAGACTTTAAATTTAGGGGTATAAGAGAAGTCACAACATAAAACTAAATATAAGAAAACAGATTTTAAAACCTTTGAAAAGTATAAGGTCATGAAATACTATTGCTTTTTAATTATGATGATGTACATCTTGAGAAAATGTGAGAATTAAAGTCATCGTTCTCTTTAATCTGAGAGAAATCAGAATCAAGTCATTTTTGACTTTGTCTCCCAAGCTCTTAAGGTTGCCTAATTTTATAAAAAAAAGTGATGAATTTACCACATTGAAACTGCATTTAGTGGAAATGGAGATTGACTCCTAATAATTGTCCTGTGAATAGGAGAAATTAAAACAAAACTTCTTTTGCATACTTTAAATACTGTATTTATATATTACATTTATTACCATTAATTAAAAAAATCAGATGGAAGAAGACTATATTTGTTTCTTCATACTATTTTTAAATGGTATTATATTATTAATAAAAGTGAGAGTTCCTGATTTGTGTCCAAGAATGTTAAAATCCATGCTGTTAGAACTAAATGCAGAAACAATTAAAATAGTATTACCAAAGAATCTCTTAGCTCAATTAATCTAAACTTGAAAGAATATTGAATTATCCTTTCTGTATGAACAGTTTTGAGTAGTTAAGAACTTTGCAGTCAAAAAAGTTTTAATACAATATTAATAAGTTTGAAATTAAACAGCGCTGATTTTAATTTTTAGCCAAACCAAGGAAAACTTTGGTTTCATCAGGCAAGTTGAAGGGACAAGGAACATGTTTTGCTTCAGACATTTTCTAACATTTCTTTTTTCCATTCCTACACAGAAATACAGAATTGCCAAATATTTTATTAGAAAATTATCAGAATGTTTAATTTTGCAACAAACCAAATTACAATTTTTTCTTAATTTTTTTTTTCTCCTCTCTCATATTAGACTTTTGATGTTTTCACATGGTCCAAAACCTACAAATTCAGGCAGAGTCAAGTGCCTATAACTTTCATTTGCTAAATACTGGCAATGGGGTTTACTAATTTATTTATTGATATAATAGTGGTCAGGAGATTCTTGACAATGGGAATCTTGGATTTTTATCCTTGATTTCATATTTTGTCCAATGACTCTATAATGCAAAATACAAACATAGGAATACATGGTAGGGTAAAAGTTTGTCTCCTTTCAGGTTAGCTGTAAGTCCCAATACAATGGGCATCTCGTGATCTTTGATCCTTATGAGTTTAAGCACTTACCAGGAGCTGATGTCAGCACGTAGCTGTGGGTTCAGACTTAGGCATCTGGATTCTCATTTGTCCCCTAGACGGGTAAACCCTTTACCCAATTGTGCCCTAAACGCCTAAATTATATGTGTAAAGGTTAAATTCAACATGGCTAGGAGACAGGGAAAAGGAAAACATCTAGAAGCTGATTCTAGTGGTAGGGTCAGGAAGCATCAGAGCAGGGCAGACTATGTGCAGAGCTCTTACCTAATGATACAAGAAAATGTTGCATTCAAACCAAAACACATGGTGGGAGGAAGAGGGGGAGCTGCTTGCCAAGTCAAATATAAAAAGGCACTGCCCCTGCAGTGCCCTGCAGTCCTGAATTTAAGGAGTGGCACTAGACGGGAGAAGAGCTGAAGTGAGTTTTTCTCTGATGATTTAAGAAATTGTTATTATAGGCCTTTCTCAGAGAGGAGCACTACTGGAAGATCATAGAATCGTTAGTGTTGGAAAGGACCTTAACACCATCTAGTTCCAACCCCCCTGCCATGGGCAGGGACACCCCACACTAAACCATGTCACCCAAGGTTTGTCCAACCTCACCTTGAACACTGCCAGGGATGGAGCATTCACAACCTCCCTGGGCAACCCATTCCAGTGCCTCACCACCCTAACAGGAAAGAATTTCCTTCTTATATCCAACCTAAACTTCCCCTGTTTAAGTTTGAACCTGTTACCCCTTGTCCTATCACTACAGTCCCTAATGAAGAGTCCTTCTCCAGCATCCCTATAGGCCCCCCTTCAGATACTGGAAGGCTGCTATGAGGTCTCCACGCAGCCTTCTCTTCTCCAGGCTGAACATCCCCAACTTTCTCAGCCTATCTTCACACGGGAGGTGCTCCAGTCCCCTGATCATCCTCGTGGCCCTCCTCTGGACTTGTTCCAACAGTTCCATGTCCTTTTTATGTTGAGGACACCAGAACTGCACACAATACTCCAGGTGAGGTCTTACAAGAGCAGAGTTGAGGGGCAGGATCACCTCCTTCGACCTGCTGGTCACGCTCCTTTTGATGCAGCCCAGGATACGATTGGCTTTCTGGGCTGCCAGCGCACACTGAAGCCGGCTCATGTTCATTTTCTCATCGACCAACACCCCCAAGTCCTTCTCTGCAGGGCTGCTCTGAATCTCTTCTCTGTCCAAGCTGTAGCTGTGCCTGGGATTGCTCCAACCCAGGTGTAGGACCTTGCACTTGTCATGGTTAAACTTCATGAGGTTGGCATCAGCCCACCTCACAAGTGTGTCAAGGTCCCTCTGGATGGCATTCCTTCCCTCCAGCATTCCTTCCCTCCAGCATATCATACTACTGATCTATTTCTTAGAATAATTACTTTTTTTTCCTCATTCTGCCCAGATCTTTGTTACATGTCAGTATAAAAGAAGGCATAGCTCATGTTTCAAGTAATTTTTCATTAACAGAGTCATGAATCTTGTGACAAGTAGCACTGATCTTCAGACTGCCCAAACCAGAGCTTCTATCACTTACTTATTCAAGATGATACTTTCTTAACTACAGTAGGTTCTGAAAACAAAACCATAACAGATGACTGAATTTGAATATAAGAGATCATAATCTTTTTTAGGGAATTTGGCCACACAACAGTGATACTATACTCTGAAATCTGCTTTCTCTTTCATTTTATTGTGCTTGGCCTTTTAGCATATGGATTTTGGTGAGATCTTAAGGAACACAATTACAGTATTTTTAGAAATACAGTGAGGTTACTTAAATGATAATCAGATATTCTGAAAAGTCTCCAAGGTTTTTACAAAATTTAGTATTTGTGGAAAGTACAAAAATGGAACATCTTTTACCTGAAATATCTTAATGATCTGCATATTGTGCTAAAAGTACCCTCTTTATGAATGAAAATTTAACATAGTTCTTCATTTCAGCACACCTCAATTAGAATGTTAAATGACCTGTGGGAGACTCTGACTTTTTTTAATTCATTGTCTGTTGTGATACCAGTTATGAAAGAATGTCAACTTTAGAGAAGTCACAAATCTTATTGAATTGGCCTACCACTTTACTTGCTGTTGCAGCGTCATAAACAGTTGTGCAGCACAAAAAATTGTGTCTCTCCAGTAAAGAACCTGATGCATTTTTAAGTCATTCTGGGGAAGTTTGTATTTCAGTTTACTGACATTTACTGCCTAGACAGAATTAATTTTTTGTTAAACTTTTGCATTAATCTTGATTCAGTCTGTCTCCCCCTCTGTTCTGTTACTCTGTATTACTTTGTTTTTTCTTCCAGAAGAACTTTGGCAGTAAAATGAATGTTTCCAGTACCTGAAATATAATGCAATTACATGAATTTCCTGAGTTGAGCCCCTGTTTGGTTACCTTTGGGGAAGGTCCACCAGTTGGGGTTGTGACAGGAGTCAGCAGAGTTCTCCATGAGCAGGGAGGGGGCAGAAATTTCAATGCTTTGGAAAGACTGTTTCCTGCAGTGGCCCTTCAGTACTCACCTTTTGTTGTCCCACTCCAGTGAACGCATGATGGGAGTGTTCAGAGACAGCCCTCCAGTGATGCAGACAGAGCACGGTGAGGGCAAAGAGCTGGGAGGCAGGAAGGGGAGTAAAGCAGTTGCACACTTCACTGTAGAGCATAAGACAAGGCAAAAAACCCAAAGGTAAATATGTAAAATTTAACTAAGTGTATGCATTTGGAGGAATTCTCGAGACTGGTTCTAATGAACAAGGTTTATATGCACAACGGGGAATAAAAGCCACAAGATAGTGATTTTTAAATCTGAAATTTTAGTGTAGTATGTGTTTGTTTTCTTTGGCTGAAGCATCTTTTTTATTTACTACATTGAACGTATGACTGAAATACATGTGTGCTAATATACTGCTTCTCTCACAACAGTAATTTAAGGTGAATCTCATTAAAAGCCCTCTTTCTGAACAGATAAATGAAGCAATAATTTATTTCTAATGAGGTAAGGTGATTTCTTGCTGTGCAAATGTGCCTAGACCCTGTAAAAACAGTGTTCCCTTTCTACACAATGAGGATAATGATGAGTGTTTATCAATGCATCATTGTCCTATTTGCTGCTAAGACTGACCTAGTGAGCTACATATCAGAACTGGGGACTACTCTGCTAATAAAAAGGTCAGTATTGTTGTTGTGAAAGGGCACTGTTTCATTGTTTGAATTATTATAATGTCATTGGCATAAACTTCCAGAACTTTCTTTGAATTCTTTGTTTTTCAGGGAAGTATGGAAAGGACTGAAAAGAGTGGGAAAGGTGTTCTCCAAGCACAACATGACAGTCGTTTTAGAAAACAGCCAGAAATAAGGCTGAAAGTATACCTGGAAAAAATACCAGCTTCTGAGATTTCTCCACCAGTGATCCACAAAAAAATGACAGGAAACAAATTCCTCCAAAATAAAAGTAAATTGTACCCTGGATCCAAACCCACCTGAACCTCTTTTGGTCTACTTAACATAAAGCATTCTGGATAATTTGGGAATTTATAGGTGTCATTATATATTGGACACTTCAGATTGTATTAGGATAAGGTGACCAAAATTGCATGATTTTGTGGATTTTTTACATTATGCCTAGTTGTTTTTTTTTCTTTAGTGTTATCTAAATTGCTTTGTGACATTTTCATATTAGCATTACAATGTTTATTACTGGTTTACATTTGGCTTTTTTTTTTACATTTTACTCATGGTAACAGGTAGAAATTCTAATCTCCATCACAGACCTAATCCTAATTTATTTCGTAGTTCTCCTGTGGGGACTATATTGTATTTTACACTAAATAAATTCTATTTCTTACTGTCTTCCTAATTTTTAATTTATGATAGTCATGGGATTATTACTCGTACCTACATGTAGCAAAGCCCTAAAGTACAGAGTTATCTAATTTGATATAAGGCATTGGAAAAGTTCAGATTTATGCAAATATCTCTGCTTTTAGATACAGGCATAATGTAAGCAGAAACTTTCAAAGAAAATGCATACTTTGGTCAATCAGCATTTGAATTAGTATCTAAAAGATTAATGTACATTGCATACAAAATGTTAGACCTGAGAAAATCTTGGAAACGATTTTCCTTTAATTTCCTATTTGCTGAAAAACTGCTTCCATAAAATAATGATTAATTCTAAATTGGACTCAAAGAGGGTTTTAACACTGCTGCATTTGCAAGGGTATTTTGTGAATTATTGGCACTTTGTTTTTTTCCAGTTGGAACTTCCTGTGGAAACATACATGTATTTTTTAATTTTTTTTTTAATATGTACGGCCAACTCGTTAGCTAATCAGTAAAAAACCACTGAGCTAAACGTGCAGATTCTAGGCAAAGACAAGGAAAGTGTTTTCGGAGCTTTAAATTTCAGTGACTGGACATTAGTTCTGAAGAAAACAGAGCACTGCCATCTTTTGTTGGAAGAGACTAACTGCAGCTTTCAAATGTCAGCTGGAAAGGGTCTGATTTGGACGCACTACTTTCTGTTGGAAGGGTTATTTACCACGTAGGCAGATGTTCTTTCTTATTAAACACACACAAAAAAAAAAAAAAAATTTTTTTTTTATTTGGTGAATATTTTCTGAGGGAGAAGACTTCATACAGGTATGAATAAGACTCGGAACCTACCATTCTACTAGACTGCTTGTACCTGTATAAACAAAAACACTTCAGGCCAAATCCATAAGTCTAGATATGGTCTTTTCTTACAATAAAAACAATGCATTCAAGTTTGATTTGTTAATGCAGCTGAAGTTTGTAATGAAGAAAAAAAAAACCCCAAGTACCTACCCGTAACCCACGCTGCTGCTGAATCACAGTTTATTTTCTGAGAAGAGAGATCCAAGTCTGGGGTGGTCAGAAAGGTCTTTGCTTTCTATTGTGTACCTCAGGGAGGAAGGGGTGAAATATAAAATGGTAGTTAATGTACATGAAAAAATAGAAACCTTTACATCTCTGATTTTACTCACTTGTATTATGGCAAATAATAATTAACAAATACTGTTGCTTCATGAATGAAGGAGCTTGTAAGAAACAGTGACATTTCATAGTGCCACAGAACCGGGAGTTCTGTGGGTTTACAATAGTTATTAATTCTTAATTTCCTTAAGTAGAAAGACATGTCAGATCCACATCTGCCATTTTGGTACACATAATTTGCTCATTTTTACCTACTACTTCTTATTTGAGGGCTTTTTTTCTGACAGTTTTGTACTGTGGCAAATCAGCACTCTCAAATCTGCATTTGACTGCCGGTCTTTTTCTGCAGATGTACAGTAGATCACCTATGGGCATCTGTAGTTTGATGCCAGCACCTCAGTCGGAGTTTAAAAAAAGAAAAAAGAAAAAGAAAAAAGTTGTATATTCTCATAATTTAATAAATAAGCATCTCCTGTTCTTCCTTCCTCCCACACAATAGATTTCCACCTGGAAGTTCAAGATGGTAGAAAATGCTTGTGACAAAGGGAAAGGAGTGAATATGCCAGATGGTGGAAGGACCCTCATTAATGTGAGTGCTTGGCTTAAAGCATCTTTACCTGTATATCCCTACTGACAAATATTTGTCCTGAGTATGTAGAACTGCCACCAGCCATCATAAACTGCAGTGGGAATGTGAAAACTGAATTCTCCTCTACAACTGTGGCTGTAAAGTTTTCTTTATATTCCCCATTCAGATGCTATCCAAGTTTGAACACTGGGCATATCTAAAGGGCAGCCACTATATCCTTGTCTATCCAAGCCCCAGATGACCTAACCTCAGTAGGAAAATTTTTTTTTTTTTTTTTTTTCTGGGAATATCCAGATCTATACTATAAAGGTATCACTTTGCTTTACAACCAAAATTGTTTTCTAAACCACTCTCAATACTTTAATATAAAATGTCTTCTCCTTTGGTGTCTCTAAAATTAGTTTCCAGGTTACAGTGCTTGACCAGACATCGGGGAATCTGATTTATTTAGTTTCTAAGGTTTCAAATGGTCCATTTCCTTTAAAAAGTGTTGAATCAAAACATTATTTGCTTTATTTATATTTTACATGTACAGGGAATTAATTGGCTTGTATAAAACAAGAACTGTCAGATCTTAGTCTTTGTATATGTCAAGAGCTCAAATTTAGCAATGGCCCAGTAGCTTTACGAAGGAGCTTTGGAAGTGCATTAATTGCCACACAGCTCATCTTATTGAAAAATCAAATGGGAGAGAAGTTCACTCAGTATTAATAAAACATATAACTCTCTCCTGCCAGTTACCAAAATCTTTATGTTTCAGTGTCATTAATGCTATTTGTGCTTTCCATAAGCCCAAGGCTAAACAGATCGGTGTCACCAATGGCTTCAGCAAGTCTCTGAGTAAGTAGACTAATTACATGACCTCATGCATGTATTTGGATGTCTGGGGCATAACTGCTGTAAGCCTGAAGTTATGAAAGAAGAGACCTGTAACATCTTGTTATTCATCTATGGAATGGCCTACAGATCTCTGCCTTGCCCTTAAGAGACTATCCTTAAATCTGAGATATAATATTTAGATAAAATAAATATTCTCGTAACCCTTAGAGTTATATAACTGTCACCTCTTTCCAAGTCTGAAATCCAATTTGTGGAATAAAAACTCTATATAACCCATTTTGATAAAAGATAATTAGACTATTAATATATTAATATATATTTAATACATTAATATATTCAATCAATGCACTTACTTATCATGCAGTTTTTATTCTTAGTTTTCCCAACAGGCTATGGTAATGACTCTTTCACAGTCTCAAAAAAATGAACTGCAAAAAATCTCATTTGACTCTGAGTAAAATCTATTTGCTCAAACAGCAAAATGTTAATGAGCATACCCCTATTAATTTCTGTACCTTTTGTTGACACAACTTGTTAACAAGGCTTCACATAAAAATTATTGAGCAATTTCATTCTATAGTTTTTTTCTTGAATATGTAAGCACTGAATTTTGAAAGACGTAGATGCCACTTACTTAAGTCTTCTTTAGGTAACCTCTCTTAGAGGTCTGGCCATGCCAATGCTTTTATGAATATTAGCACAACTGCACATTACAGAATGCCCAAATATTTTGTTTACTACAAGGATAGTTCAGTATATTTACTGGAGGTACCTTTTAATACACCCATTCTATCCAAGCAATTTTTGCATAAAATAAGGTACCTAAAAATATTAACACTTTTGAGTATTTGCTATAGGAAAGGAAAAGTGTTTATGCCCAAGTCAAAGCTACAGTCAGTTGTCAACCGATAAAACAAAAGCACTGAATTCACTCTTACCTGCTTTAACAGACTTACTTTTCCCTTCTGTAAAAGAGTAAAAGTTCTAGAAAAATAAATATGCATGGTAAAAGCAAGGCTCCTCAAAAGTAATACACACAGCTGGGGTAAAACTGAGAACAATGATGCTTTTCCCGGCTAGGAAGTGATCTTGGACTTCTACTAAGTGAGGGGCAGTGGGCAGTGCTCTGTTTGTTTGCACTGCTAGCTCTCAGCTCAGTTCTTCATGCAACAAAATTGACATTACAGTTTTTCCAGCTCTAGTGTGTTAAAAGCTTGCATAGTAAAATCCTAAACTAGGGGCATGATGTGGGGGATTTTATTATTTTTTGTCTTTTTATATAATAAGCATTATTTTTGTAAACTGAATATGATGAGATGGTTATGGGCAATGCAAAATCCTCATTATAATAATAAATATAGAAGAACTACAAATCACTCATTCAACAATCACAATGAATTTCCTTCCAAGTCTGGGATTTTCAAACTATTCCCCCCATGTCCTGCAGACCAGCAGCCACCTGTTGCTGGAAGTGAAACTACTAGATTGGCGAATTTGGGCGCATCCTGGATTGTTTCTAATTCATTCATGATCTTGTACTTACTAACTGCTACTTCCCAAGTAATTAGGTGGTATCTACTTGCATGTAGTAGAATAACCTCTGTCTCACGCATTCATGCCTCATTTCCTCATTTAATGCTCTTTTCAGTCTTGTTATTTATTTTCTTTAATATTACACTTCCAGCTCTATAGCCAGATGAGTCACACTCTTTGCCATCCACAGCAGCATTCTCCAGGGCCTGTGAAACAATAAAGTATTTTATAAAAGCTTTTCCACTAAAGTTATATACAGTCAGAGAAGCTAACCTTTATTTTAGTGGCACTTGAATTAGGATGAAATTTCATTCAGAAAAGATTATTCATAATAAAATACAGAACATCACCATGTATTTTATATTATTTAAGAAAAAAAAAGAAGCCACAACTCCATAACTACACCACACAGCACAGTGCTGTGACAGGCAGTGCCTGACACTCACAGATTATTTTTTTCATTCAGAAATATAAAACCCTAAGAACAGGCTGAAAATTTCAGAGGAATTCCCTTCTTTGCCATAAAAAAGGGAGAACTGAGTTCTCAGAAATTCTACATTAAATACAGAATGACTGATTTATTTTCCTCACAACAGAAGAGTAATTTATCACGTCAGAAGGTTGTTTCCTTCAAGTTGCACGCGGTTCCCTGTTCAGCTGTCATTATCCATCTACGATCATTACAGTGTACAATTAGAATTTAGGATTAGAGAGTAACTGTTACCTTCCTGAAGGTGACACTGACAGAGAGACAAGTAAAATGACTGCGAGATAAAACAGAGGTAATCCCTTCTAACATGCATACAGAAAAAAATCTTGCTAGCCAAGATTAAAGGTATCCAGATGCCAAACACGGGAGAATCTATTACGTGTAACAGAGGGGGAACTCCTGTACTTTTTCCATGGAGGAAACTACTGTTGTTTCAATGACATCAGTAGAAACTGACCTGTGAAAGTATAGTACATTCCTTTGTCATTTTAACCACAAATTTCAGTTTATTCACTGAATGAGATGAAAGAATTGTTACTATTACTGTCTTACTTTTCCTTAAGGTAACTCTCTCCGTGGACTTCCTGTGGAATTAGGATCGGTACATCGAAATGCATGCTATGTTCTGTAAAATTCAAGGAAGCTTCAAGATGCTGGCCTGCTAAGACACTTTATAAAATAACCCACTGAAAACATTTAGTCAGATGCGCAGTGAACTAGAAGTCAGAACGCAGCACTGCTGCTTGCAGTGTGACAAGCATCACGATCTGCCATGTTTATTTCTCCAAATCCCTAAAGAATAAGATGGCTTGTCTCATTTGCAGTTGTTGAAAGGAGAAAGGCACAAATACTTAACAGCATTTCCATATCAAGAAAGATACCTCTTCACTTGCTGGGAAAAGAAAACTCATGTAACAAGGTATGGATGCAGAATAATTCAGTCTAATGTTTTGTTGCTCTTGAATTCTGTTATCTCGGGTTCCAGGGGACAAATAACAACATTGAACAGACAAATATTACTGAAATGGAGAAAATTTAGGGATTTGTTGAGTTTGTTTTTATAAATAAATAAATTTACAATTGCATGGTAGAGGAGATGGAAATGAAATGAAAGACTGATTCCTACACTTGTAATTTGAAGTTCAGAACATATCTAAAATGAAAGTATTTTGCCAAAGCAAAAAGAAAACTAGTCAAGCAACACAAAACCACCAACAGGATTACAAATTGGCATTGTGGCACTATGAAGAGTATTCCCTTCCCATTTAAGAAATATCTATATACTTCAAGAAATATCTATATACTACAAGTGTAACCTGACATATTCAAATATTGTAAGTTTTCACTAGTTTAAGAAAAAAAAAACAACATGCCAAACATTAAAAATAAATATCACTTTAATATCATTGCAATGCTATTAAAAATCAGAGTATAAAATTTCATGCTCAGATCATTGAATGGTTTGGGTTGGAAGGGACCTTAAAGCTCACCCAGTTCCAGCCCCCTGCCATGTTGAACTTCTGTTTAACAATACCCTAAGTCCTTCTCCCCAGGGCTGCTCCTAGCTCGTTCTCCTCTCAGCCTGCGTTAGTGCTTGCAGATGATGAACAGGAACATATATTTTATACCACCTTAAAAATCTACTTGTTTCTTCTTATAAATTGTGCCATTTTTCATACCTGCATACTTGTGAAGACCATGGTGTGTTAGAGGTCTGTGTAAATGTCACATACACAATTTTCAATCTTCTGGTATAGAAAATGTCGGATTTCTGTAATATTCTCTAAGAAACACAAGTGTCTTTGACTGCACACTGACATTGTTAGCAAAGTCCTTTACGACAATAGAGTACATGCTGTAATTTTCCCTAGAGCTAAAAACTCTTTCAAATGAACGTGAGTCAGGCAGTACTTTCGGGAATAATGTTGCAAAGTTGTAAATGCTACTTACCATCCCCATGAATGCTGCCTTTTGGAGACAGTACATGAAGTGTCAGACACAATGTGAACTCTAGATTGTTGGAGTACCTGTTAACATAGTGATATTTTCAAAGTTGTCTTGCTAAGTTTGAAGAGAAACAGCTATTTAGGTTGGCAAATGAAACAAAGGTTGCACAAACCAAGTACATGACATTGTCTGTGACTTGCTTAATGATGTAAATATGGGTCTAGATTCAAGGCTCATTGGCACTTTTTGATCCAGGATAATTTTATATGAAATACTGGTTATTCACAATCTAACACCAGCCTGTTTATTGGAGAAGCACTAACATTAACTAGCTTAGTTTTCAGCACTCTGGCGGTAGTTCTGAGAGATCTTTCAAAGACACATGCTCAGCTTTTCTACCTCCTACTAGGAGCCTGCCCCACTAGAACTGTGCCCTCTGGAAGTCTAGCCATGTGGTAGAGGTGATTACGATTACTTTAGTAATTACTTATAAGAAGCAGAAGAAACCACAAGGTAGCACAAAAAGAATTAAATCTGAATTCAACATGAATCATTTACTTCCTTCTGCAAACCTTTTCAGGAGAAGCTTTCTCCTTATTGATGATATCGCTGTTGTTTATTTCATGTAGGCTTCACAAAGGTGTGTCTTCTAGGGGTAGGTGCTGTCTTAGATTGTTGATGGTTTTCCTAGTTTTTTGTCAATATTGAACTTTAAAAAAAAAAAAGTTGTACATTAATATTTTCAAAATTGTCATGTTTCAAATGAATATTCAGAGTATTTCACTGTGTGACCAGATTAATAGTTCATAGAAATAAAGTTGGTGAAGCAGCCCTCTATTTTCATAGGCTGGGTGAATATATAGAGTTGATTTACAACAAGTATTCTAAGTAACTTTTTTTAAAGCGCTTGAAACAAAGCTGGGATTTCCAAAGCTGCATATGGCTAAAGTATTCAAAATCTCTTGTCCTGTATGTCCTTATGCCTTACATAGTAGTTCAGGCCTGTGTTTAATGAATGATGCATGAAGGGCTGTTAGGAAGTTGTGCTGCAGGGAAAGACTTTATTCTGAGTCATGAGCAGTGTTGAACTGTAGCCTCATTAATTTGATTAAAAGCATGGCTCATTATAGCCCAGCTGGTTATGCAATTTTTAAATAATACATAGTTTTCCTGAGATCTCATTAATTGAAGTTATTATGCATTTTATATATTTTTGTGACTCTTTGATCTAAACTGTTGCATTATCCTGCTGTTTACATCATGAAATCTGCCACTGGCCATACATGTGCAACACCTGAATGTTTGCAACATAATCCTTCTGATGCTTACCAGATATGTAGTTGAGTTTTCAGCTTTTTGGTATGGTTTGGCATTATGAATCACTAGAAAGATGAATAGATTGCATCCATTTTGAAAAATAATTATATAACCAGAAAGTACTGCTAATAAAGAAGTTTATAACAGAATTTTAAGTATGTTTTGAAAGAAACTTCTTTTGCCTTTTTTAAAAAGTAAATGCTAATAAGATACAGTCAACAAAATGATTTACTGAAAAATTAGTTTGATAACTGCTTTCATTCACGTACTTCTTTTCCCTGGTGGTCAAAGTTATTAAGGTCACAGTGATAAAATTATGCTTTCTATGAATTGCTCAGTATTTCATACCATGAGGCAATCAGCACTAAATCTAGCACAAACACTATTCTGAATCACCTCAAGAGATGCCAAGTCAGTAGGTAGCAAATAGGCAGTAAGTTTAAAAAAATAATTCATAATAAAGACTGAAAAAAACAATATTGAAAAAAATTCTACAGCAAAAGGAAAAATGTCAGCACTGCAAAGACAACTCACTTGAAACCTTTGGTTCATATTGTCCTTAGGTGAACTATCAATGCCATTTTTAGGAGGAATACATGATGATTTGAGTCATATCCAATCTACTGTCTCTAGTGAATACAGAAAGTTGACCTGTGTCATAAAAGATGCAGGAAACATCCTGGAATTTGACTCTAGGTGGAGAGAACAGTAATGAAAAATCTCCTTCAAGACATAAGATTTCTTATTTGTGAAGCCCTGGCTGACAGGCTGATGTTTGACATGTCTGGAAGTCTTGTGATTGTCTAGCTCTCATATGATGTGCTCTGATTCTGCAAAGAACTGCTTCATAACTCAATTATAGTTCACTGGGAATATAACACTTTCTAGTAAGGAACTGTGAATGACAGACAGATTCTTAGAACTCCTTGGGGGGGACTGGACTGTAGACCTTCTTATCAAAATCACATGTTCTTCTCCCTCATTGACAAACACTGGTTTTAGAGCTGGCAAATGCTGTTTCCAAGCTTGCCACTTTTGCCAGGCACTGCAAAGATGCATCCTGAAGGTCAAGCAGAACATAAATTACTGAGATTTTCACTTCCTATATGTAATTTTCAAAAATTCTAAGCCTTTACATATACAAAACTTCTAGTGTTGAATAAGAACCCCATCATCTCCCCCATATTAACTAAATCCAGAGGAGCTGTTAAGGTTTTCTTTCTGAATATTGAACTTAATTCAATGGATTAATCTAAAATATACCTGATGGGACTTAACCAAAGGAAACTTGGTTTTCTGGGAAGTGATTATTATGCTAGCTGAGAAGCTATGAGAACCATGATCAGAACTGTTGACCCAGGCTTTCTTATGAAACATGCTCAACTCCTTTCGTAAAATCTGGGCCATTCATACCCTATTTGAGGTGCTCAGGGTTAATGCATCTTTGTGGGATTTCAGCATTTCAGGCTTTCTAGTTCAAACACACGTTCTTCTACTTGATCAGTGTTCAACTTACGCAAAGAACAAGAGGAAGTCTCATTAAACAATATATGAGAAATTTGGCAAATGCCTTATTAATCTTACTGAGATGCATCTGAAAAACAAAGTACAGTCATATAAGTGATACAGCCATCTAAACCATAGAGCTGAAAACCACTGTGAATGTAAGATGGCATACAAATTACCTAGTATAATTCAACACTGTGCTATTACTCTTCTATCTCACAACATGCTGTTGAACTTTCATCCAAATTAACTTGCACCTGTCTTTGACACTGTCATGGTCCTTTCATCTACAACCAGTTTATCTGTATTTTATCAAGATACAATCTTGTCTTTAAATAAGGAAGAGATAAGCAGGCAAAGTTTGAAATCCACATACATGTGGATCTTTGAGCTAAGAAGCATGCAAAGTCATGCATCAAAAGTAATTGGTATTTGAAAATGTTAAAGTTTCCAAAATGTTTTATAATGGGTTTCAATATACAATGATAAAATATTTTGACTTGGGATTTTTTTAACAAACAGGAAAAATAAAAATAAAAACCTCATGAAAGAAAAATTTATATTCTTTTTGGTTTTCCCCTTTAATACACATGGTAATTAAGTGGTAATCTTTCCATTATTTAGTGCTTCTATTTTAAACCTTGTCTACAGAATCATGAATTGTAATTCCATGGACTATGGAAGCACTCCTGTGATAGACCCCTCTCTTCTATGGTCATCGTGATTTTACATCTGTAAAGAATCGTGAGTTATGTAAATATACTTCTTCTTATTAACTGATCAGAGTTTACATGTAGTTGCAGATTTGCTCTAGAGGGCTCAGCTGGTACACGAACAGAGTTGTCTTGACATTAGTTGTGCTGGGTTTGAATATGGGTTTTTATCAATAGGCAGATTTTAATGATTTTTCCCTACTGTTACTACATTCATATGGAATCATAGTCAATTTCTTTCAAAAAAACCCTAGAGATTTACCTATTCACCACTGCCAGCAGTTGGACTAGATGACTGTTGAAGGCCCCTTCCAACTGGAGCTAGTCCACTCTATTCTATTTAAATGAGCTATGGAGTTGTAGTAAATAACTGACATGTCCTTCTCTAGAAAGAGACCAATTTTATTTTGGCCAGTTTCACTGACAATACAACTGCAGTGTTGAAAACAGAAGTTTTCCTTACATCAAGTCTTACCTTGCAGTAGTACATGAAGTTCTCAGCTCAAAGTCCAACATCCACTCTTCATACTCAACCCCTGAAGACTTCCCAAGCATGAAAATGTAAATCGCCTGTTGGAACAAGTTGGGTTTTCTGAAAGAACGAAACCAAAGTGACTGAAGAGCCTGGGTTAACTTTACAAGACATCTATAGGATGAATTCCTTTTAAATCCCAGTCCAGTTATTATGCATTTTACCCACCACTCAAATAGACACAGGATTTACCCCAGGGAAAAAAAAAACAGAAATATGATTTCACAATTTATACAAAATAACAGGTAAATGAACAGTTTAGATAATAAAGAACTAGTCCTTTCAAAACAAATTTCTAGAAGACATGGTTGTGCAGCCAAAAGCTAGTGTAGAGTTAGTGAACCACAACTAATCACTTTTCACTGTCTCTTTGGCTGTCCTGACTGTTTCTCAACAGAAGCTTGGATGCATTTTTTTTTTTTCTGAAAACAATGAAAATGTAAAGTAGCCATTAGAGCACAGAAGTTTGGGTCTTTTTTGTCTTTTTCTAAAGCAAAACTTCAAAGTGTTGGGGGGGGGGGGGGGGGCAGGAAGGGGAATTAAAAAACCTGAACTTACTTTTTAGCAAAGTTAGCATATCAAGAGGAAAAAAACTGTCCTCAGCTGCTGCTTGGAAAATGGACCATCCAAGCAAAACACATCCCAGGAACAGAATTGTGGAAGACACCTACCTATTTCTGAGATGAAATATTTTGTTGAATTGAAGAGGACTGAACTTACTCAGGTGGAAAGACTTAAAGAAGGAAAACTGTCTGGAATCAAAGAACCATGGTTCAGTATTATCATTTATTTAATTTTTTTAGAATGAGCAGATTTGGGCAGGTTGCTTGTTAGCACAGTTACATTCTTCTGGGCAAATTGCTATACAAAATAGAACTCTGAACAGACACACCAGTTTTTTGGCAAGAGATAGATGAGCAGGCACAAGCATCCATCTTCACTGTGTGTCTTATCCTCCCAGGTGATGGCATAATTTGCTTCATGGTCTCTAAGCATAATTCTACCAATAATGATTAATTTTTTTTTTATAGGAGACATTTACTCAGGAACATTCAGAAGTATAAGAAATGGTTCTGCTTTCTAAAAAAAGACAAAATAGCTAATGTCCATGCTCTAAGAAACTTTTTGGAGCAGTATATGCATCAGACAGCTTGTTTATATAAAGCATAAGCTAAACTGTAAGATCACAAAAAGATCTAAATAATACAGATGTTTCTTATCTGTATAGCGTGTTTCCTTTCAGAGCATCTCTGATCTTTTCAGTATTATCAGACTTGACTTTTGGGCAAAAGAAGCAGCTTGTAACCAAAACCACCAGAGAATTCTTACTTTCTGGGTACATGCAGAGCCTCTATTTAAAGTCTCATACAAAAGGTTTCTATAGAAACCTGGAGGACTCAGCCAACCAGTACTAAAATGCTGAACCCTGAGGCCTATACAAAATCCACAAACATATTTATTCCTCCTAACAGCTCCTTAAGTCACTGATCTCTATCATGCTGAAGCATAACTACCTTCTTAATATATAGTGTTATACCTTACACTAGCATACTCTATCTTTGAAAATAAAACAATCTGGTAACTGTTAAAACCATGTTTTTAACTCAGGTCCTTAACTGATCCCATAGCTAGTGAATTGGAAATTAACTCTGATCTCCTTTCTGGCATATACTATCTCCTAGGACTTTTTTAAAGGAGATGTTTGTCCTATATATAGTTATGTTTCAAATTGTTACTCACTAAAAGAGCAAGTATTTTTGGTTCCTTCTGAAAGTCATATTTCCATAGTGATGCCGAGCTGACAAAAATATGCAATACATCATGATAACTGAAAATTAACTCACTATCACAGATACTGCTCCCAGATGCCATTTTAAACTTCCTCTGGAATATTATACTGGTACAAAATTCAGGTTCTCCTGAACCTGATTTTAATATATGTTCAGTATGAAGTATTCTCTCCTCTTAATTTTCAGTTTGTTCCTCATTTCTCTTTTGGGTTGTTTGAGTTAGTTATCCTAGGCTAAAGCAGAGATAAGGACTCATTTCAGGGTTCGCTCCTGAACAGCAGCTTGGATGGGACTGTGCTAGGTTTGGCTTCCTCCTCCCTGTACAGTGAAACACTCTCCTCATAAGCACTGCACAGTCCTCCAGCAGGCTTCCCAGCAGACTTCCATTCTTCATCTCCACAGCATCTCTTTCCCCTGTGCTCATTTTCACATTATAGAACCACCAGGGTCATCATTATTTCTCCATGTTTGTCCCCTGGAATGTCCGTAAATGCTTATGTTCTGCTGGCTTTTAGGGCTACACGGAACTCCAGAGAGAGATACACATTGGTTCACCAATGCTGAAAACTCACACTGAGCAGAGGGTATATAGCACAAGACAGATGGAAGTCAGCTCAACTCTCTCAGTTAATTTGGGCAGTGCTTTCAATGTGCCTGAAAGGACAGACCACGTATTTCTCACACCTGTTTAGTGGGAGGTTTTTCCTTGTGCAGAATCTTTCTGCTTTCTTGACAATAGTCTTAGAAATGCAGATTCCTTCATTTTCCTACTTCTGACATTCCACTATGGTTGAATCTCTGTTAAAATAACATTTCAAATATAATTTAAGTCCATAAATATAGTAATATTTCCTTTCTGTTAAACCAAGAACCACCTGCAGGAATGACGGAACTCCAAAGTTCAACAGCACACCAATATTTCACAAAGAAATGGCTCTCCAAGACAAATTGGGCATTCATCTCTCTCTTGAGCTTGCAGAACTATGATACTAGGACATACCACAGACACCAATTCCAAGGATAATTATTCATACCATCTATGAACAACTCGCCCAAATGTTGTGGAGTTTGGGGCAAGTTTATCTTTATAAAGAATTCATGACATACCTCCTTTCAATCATCTCACATCCACCCACACTGACATTTCACAAACCAAACTTATCCGTAATACCTCTCAACGCAAGGCATTTTCTACACATTTGTTCAGGTCAGCGTGCAAATGTTCTCACTTTCCAGACTTAAAAAAAGAGAAGGAAAATAAAAGGAAAAAAAAAACACATACTCCCACATTCTTGTACAAAAGACTACTCAAGGTCAAGATCAAGAAAAAAGCCTTTTGTCCTCCCCTTTTGTCCTCCTCTTAGCTTGTGCAGTACCTTCTTTCACAGAGTGCGCAATAAATTTCCAATCAGAATTTCGCATCTCTCTCAAGCTCTTTCTCCTAGGGGAAACAAGATCAGACAGAATCAAACAGACAAATGTTACAATCTTTGTCCAAATGCCATTGCAAAAAAAAAACAAAAAGAAACACCACCCCCCCAAAAAAAACCCCACCCAAATATAAAAAAAAAAAAAAAAAGACCCTCTGAAAAATTAAATTACAGAAAACAAAAACCTCAATCTTTATTTCTAAGTAAAATCCTCACTGTAGCTTATTTATGCCATGGTTGTTGGAAATACCTTTTGAAGCACTTTACAGCAGATTTGCTGCCTATGTCTTAATTGCCTGCTAAGTTCTCTAGACCATCTTTGATTTTTACCATTTTTTGATTTTTACCGTCTTTTTACATCTTTGATTTTTTTCAAAGATGTAAAAACTGCTGAACAGCCCTTTTCCCAATTCTAAGGCAACAGCTCTGCTTTTCTCTTGGACAGACCTCAATGACATACTTCACATTAAAAAAAAATGACAAGAAAAACAACGAGAGGGTTCTTTTTATGGCAAGGCAATAGCTGTCTCAGCTGAAGACAAGCTTCTGTGCATGACAGTTATTACCATCATATTGGATGAATTGCATTACAAGTTGGAATACTACTTGTAGGAAGTAATGTGGTATTTATGTAAAGGAATAAACATGAAAAAATATATCTACACTCTGTATGACTTAAAATGATGTAAAGGCAGAAAATGCTAACTCACATTTGCTGGTTCATCAAGACAATTATTCTACAGAATTAATTAAGTAGTAAACATTATTATTCTCCGATTTCCAGATTTTTGTTGTGGAAGTGAAGTCACTCACTCACAGCCTGCTAGTGTGTCACGACACTGGCTCTATGAAAATGAATCTGACCCCAAAAAGCACAAATGAAGGATCAGGCCTGAATGAACTAAGGATCCATTCCTGCAGTTTTAGAGAAGAGTCCTCACTAGCTTCTCAATTTTCTTGCTGTACCACTGAAGCACCATGCAGACTCATTCAAGGAAACAGCCTTCAGCAACCCATGTCAAAGGATGCTGAGCAGACTTTTCAGAGGCTTTTAATTCATTTTTAATCTTTGTTCCTAAATGTGGGGCTGATGCAAATAGAACGGCCAGAACAACTTTATTTTAGGAAAAAAGAGTCAGTTTTATGCCAGCATTGCTCTCAGGTAGGGCTGAAATGTTTCATCTTAAACTCCCCCAAAATGTCAGCTTCAGGCAACTCATCTCAAGTTAAAAATATCAGCTTTAGGACTGAACTACAATAAAGCAAATGAAAAGGGCCTGGCAACTGGAAGTGTTGGTAAAGCTTAACTATGGATGACACTGTCAGTTCCCTGTGCAGCACCAGGAACTACACTGTCTGTGTGGTAAATGGTGGGTTTTGTGATCTGGATGTACTTCCTAATGATCTGCACCACTTCCTAAATGTCAGACATGTGATGTGAATTTCTATTCATGTTACCACTTCAGTCTATAATCCTGAATAATCACTATAATCTGTTCTTAGCAACTGTGGTCATGGTAAGGGATGTACATCCACATCCATCAGAAATCATTGCCAGTTCTCACAGAAAACTTCAGGAGAAAAAAAGACTGAAACAAACGAAAACCCTTCATTCAAGATTCTACAATGCCAGTATGACTTGTGCCCTCTTCACTTCAAGCCCTTGAACACATGTATAATTAAGAACTTAATTAATTCCACTGAAGCAAATAAAGCTGCTTTATACACATCACTGTTTTGAAGGAGTGCAGTATTGTTCTCACAGCAGTAATATTTCATGGAATGCTGTTGAAAATTAAGTAGTATAATTTTTTAATTACATGGAATAAAAACCAATCCCCCCTCAATAAAACCCCCAAACCCAATATTGAAACTTAGGAGAACAGACATGCATCAATGTATTTCAAGATGTAAATTAATAGACCACATTTAGATCTCTGTCAGAGAAACTAGTTAGATTTAGTTAGAGAATTTAGTATTAGAGTCTACTTAGAGGACAGGCGCTTTTATGCGTTCAGAGGAAATACTGCTCCTATCTCTTTGCTAAATACCAGCACCAGTACTACAGAATGACTGCTGCTGCTGAAAAAAGATCCCCAAAAGCGATCATAAAGGCAATAGGCACCAGATCTGATTTAAGCACAAAATCACCTAAAAAAAACATGTCTGCATACAATGTAGCTGTAAGACAAAAGTAGCAGACTAGTCTAACCAATACAAATTGAGGTACTCAAAAAGGAATACTAGTAAACACATATTTGACATGCAAGAAAAAAACAAAGAAAAATAAAAGTAACAAATGCCACCAGTATTGTAGACTTTGTGTCTGAATATTCTACTAGAGCTAGTAGTATTTGTTACTTTGCCTTATAAAGGAATGATTGATTGATGACATTATTTCCTTAATTAATACATTTTAGCTGTATCACTTTTAGAATTTATTTGCTGAGCACAGGTTAGCCTGAAGTTAAAATCCTCTTAATGGTTCAT